CCGCGCAGAGGCTCCCCGCCCCCCCCCGCTCCCTGCGACAGCAGGAGATGAAGATGCTCTTTCATCATCCTCTCCCGCTCGCCCACCCGCCGCCGCGTGGGAGTCGGAAAGGCAGCGGGAGGATGGGCAGTGAGCCCTGTTAGTGAGCCGTGGCCTCCCCCTCTCTGCTCCACGGCATCGTTCAAGCCCCACGCGGGGGTCCCCTGTGGGTGGGGGGCAGCCCTACCTTGGGCTGCAGCCTCTCACCCTCTTTTGCCCCTGGACACGGCGGCCAGCCCCCGGACCAGCCTCCTGCAGGCATTTGGACCGATGCCGAAGCTGTAGCACCTGCGAAGGGACAAGGGGACGTCGGGATCCAGGGGACGAGCCATCCCAGCCCCCAGTTCCCCCCAGCTCACCCACTCCCCACAGGCAGAAGACCCCCCCACCCTTTTTCATCCCACCACTACGCACTTATCCAGCATCACCAGAGGACAATAACCCAGCTCCTCTTTCAGGTGGCTTGCAGGAGGGTCGGGAACCACATCCCCCTCCCCTCAGCAGACCCCAAATTCCTTCCCCAAGGAGCTGCGATGCTCGGGGGCTTCCCAGCAGGACCCCCAGCCCCTGCCTCCTCCTCCACCAAGACAAACCAGCTGCTTTGCTGCCAGTTCAGCTTTTTTTTTCCCTGCTGAGCATCTGTGGTCGATAGCACTAAAGAGCCAGTAATTATCCTCTGCTTACAATTAAAAATAAATGTTTTTTCTCAAGGACGGCAGAACCAGCCAGGTGAGGGTGCTCCCCTGACTCCCGGTTCAATGAGTCAGGATTTGGGTTTTTTTGGCTGAAGGATGCAAACCCCGAGCAGGGAGGGCAGGAGCCGTGCCCGGTGGGGATGGATGCGGGAGGAGGGATGGGGATGGGTGGGATCCGGCATTTGGCCAGGATGCTGAGGGAGAAACCACCTTCAGCAAAAACCAGCATCTGCACGAGGGGTTTTGCTCTTTGAGGTTTTTAATCCGCAGCTGGCTGCAGATCTTAGGTCAGCCTCACGCCCTCTGAAATAAAGCTCTGATCGTCTTTGGAGACTGGGGACCCACAAACATCTCTGGGTGCTGCTTCCAGGGTCACCCAAGACCCTGTTCCATCTCTGATTGCATTTCACCCATCACCATGCCTTGTAAGAGCAAGGGATGCATTGTCCTATAAAACACTTAAACCTCCATGTAGCAAAAAAACCCCAAAAGGACAGAGCAGCTTCCCTGCTAAGCCCTGAAGTCTAAGGGATGGAAAAGAAATAAGGTTTTCTTCCATTTTTTCTGATGTTTCATGGCCCTGAAAGAGGCAGGGGAGAAGCTAGACCAGGCTGTCGTCAGGGCTGGGGAAGCAGGCTGGGAGCTGGATGCACAAATTAGCTGTTTTTTCACATTGCTCTCTTTCAGCGTATTCAATTCTGTGCAGCTCCATCCTGGAAGCAGCTGGGGCCAGACCCAGATGTGCTTTAAAAAAAATTAAAAAAAATAAAAAAAAACCCCACCCCAGCAAGGAAGATTGTTCGTGTGTCAATCTCTCCTAGCAGGAAGCATCAGCCGAGAGCCTGTGAAGTTGTCAGCCCAATTATCCCGCTTTTGATTGTTTCAAAAGCATCTGAACTTCTGGGATCCGTTCCAAACCCTTTGAGGTTCTCCCATGGCTCACACCAGCCGTCTCTCCTGCCTCCAGCTCTGCAGCAGTGATGGCTGCGAGACGGAGCGGTGTTCCAGGAGACCCCCCCCACC